GAACAAAACATTCTTAAATGCAGTTGTTTGAAATAAGTTATACAAGTACACGGAGAGAATTCATAAAAGATTCAATAAATTATCATACTATTATAACCTATCTGACTTTATAAAACAAAGCAGTATTTTTAATGTACAAGTAATGTTGTATTTTAGTGGATTCCATTTCCTGGAATTTTTAAATGACATGTTATTACTTGTTATTAGAATAGAACTTGACCTGTCACAGCAGTTTGAACATCCAGGTCTCCCACCAGAATAATTCTCTGTAGTTCATCCTCCAAGTACAGTTTGTCTGAGTCATCCACAAACTTTGTTCTCACAGGCTGGGGCATCAAATTATGCTAGACATATAAATATAGACAAATTAATCAACTTCTTCAGAAATTTAAAATGCTGCTTTTTACTATTCTTTCTTTTGAAATATTGTAAAAGTTATTTTTTTTTATATTCAATTTTCAAGTTTGGTTTCAGTTTGAATTTTTTTTTTTTTTGGTTGTTTTTGAAATTACAGACATTTTTTTTTGGATGGATTATTAACTTATACATGTATAGCAAGAGAAAAGAATTTGGAGAATTAAAAGCTTTACCTCCTCGCTGATTTCTTGTAAAATACTTGGCTTCAGTTCCATGTGTTTAAACAGAGTCCCAACAACAACACAGGTTTCATCACTTTGCAGTTCATGTAACTTCCTAATACAAATATCCTTTCCTACAAATTTCCAATTATAATAAATGAGAATAGACGTAAAAAAAGAATGCTTAGGACATAAATTATGCCTAGCAAATCCTGAGGTCAAGTCAAAAACTCAACTTGAAAATATGATAAACACTCTCAAGACTCTAAATTAAAAGTTTTCTTAGTGATAAAAAAAACAAAAGGTGGCCCATCGACCTGGATAAGTAAAGAGCTAGGTTCACTTTATGCATAAAATGGCCCTGTAGATACACCAATTTATTGACTAATACCCCATGTACCATTTTCAACATTATTATAAAGTAGAGACTTAGTGCTTTCAGTTTATACAACAGAATTTCCTTTGAAGAGTCCAGGCATTGAAAAACAGGTTGTGTGAAATTGCAATGTTATTGAATTTCGCAGAAAACAGGTGTTTTTGAGAACCTTCAGCAAAGAATTAAAATATGAGCACACCCCTCGATCAAAAAATTAAAATATGTTTTATAATCTTCATTAACAGTTCTTTTACAATATATTTACACATTTTGGATCGGAGGTTGTGCTGTATATGAAATATTGAAAAATGGCATCATAATTTGGCTATTTTTGAAGAAATATTCAGGATATGTGAATAATGACACAATTCATGACGTCATAATGCATTGACTAGAAAGAAAATTACGTCATTTTCAGTAGATATTCATTCACCAAGTGCTCAAGTATTATTTATTGCCTTGTTGACTAAAACTATACAGTTTTGAATTTTCAGAAATTCACAGGGCCAAAAAAGGCCCTAAGTGGCTCTTGCTCTTTTAAGTTTGACCAGTACCTCAATCTATTTGGGTTTTAGGGACATCACATTTGACTTTTTTTCGTCGAGTGAATATTAAAAATTATTTCCATTTCAAAATAAACATGTAGATTATGTACAGGATCCTACATAGGAACAATACTATTCTCTATTGAGAAGTTGATGGCTCGTTTTAATACTCTCCCTCAACTTCTCTACGAAAGGCCTAATAAAAGCAGTTCAGAAAATGACTAAATGAAGAACCAAACCGGGTCCCACTCCGATCGATGTTTTAGGATTGATGCATTATCATAGACATATTTTGGATGCACAGATGTTGTTTTGCAATGGAAATGTGATTAAAAATACCCATTCTGCTGACTTAAATACATTTATCATGGTAGAACACTTACTTGCGATATCTGTGTCACCGGATTTGTTTATTCATTCAAAACTGCATTTGAACCCGGTTGACCTCTAAAACTATTGCTCCAGGTAACTGTTTAACACTGGGACATTTTAATCAAATTTATCAAAGAAAATTTTTTAGACTTTTTTAGAGGTCAACCGGGTTCAAACGCAGTTTTGAATGAATAAACAAATCAGGTGACACAGATATAGCAAGAAAGTGTTCTACCATGATAAATGTTTTTAAGTCAGCATGGGTATTTTTAATGGCATTTCCATTGCAAAACAACATCTGTGCATCCAAAATATGTCTATGATAATGCATCAATCCTAAACATCGATCGAAGTGGGACCCGGTTTGGTTCTTCATTTAGTCAATTTCTGAACTGCTTTTATTAGGCCTTTCATAGAGAAGTTGAGGGAGAGTATTAAATCGAGCCATCAACTTCTCAACAGAGAATAGAACAATACACAAAACGTGAAAGAAGGAAGTAATTTTCAAATTTTACAAATGATAACAAATTATCTTTAAGATCTTCATATACAATCAAAACAAGAAAGAATAATACATGTGTGTGTAGGTTATATGTAGAGAGAATTTCACATCGTTAAAATGATATTTTCTAAATGACAGAATCATTCCATGTGATGATAATACCTTTATCAGAGACCAATCTAATTAAAATTAGATGTTCCGAATCCGCTACCGCTTCTCAAACATCTAACAACATCCCATTAGGGGTCACGTCAGAATGACCTTTCGATTACCCAATGAAATCGCCGTCTCTGAAATCTTAGCTTATAGTTCGGATGCGTTTCTTTTTTTACTGCCAAACCTAAATGCCCGAGGGGTTTCGTAGTAAACAAAATATGCATGGTGAAGACCGTGCTAAATATGAATGTGATGTGTGGGATATAGACGTATACATGTAGTTTGTGCATTTTCGTTTGCATTATTTAGGTAAGAATGCCAAATTGGCGGATTATACATTCAATTTATACCAAAATTACTTTAATTCAACGTAAGACAGTCTACTGAGCATCAGTAATGTTAAGATGTAGCCGTGGAACTAATTTTAGAATCGTATACAGAAGGTTGAATCTGATTGGCCAAAATTTTTATGTTATTCATAATCGAAAGGTCGCTCTGACGTGACCCCTAAAGGGATGTTGTTAGATGTTTGAGAAGCGGTAGCGGATTCGGAACATCTAATTTTAATTAGATTGATCAGAGACATAAATAGCGTTATTCTGTCTTAATCATAGTTTATGAAGCAGATGATTGTATCTACTAACACACAACTAGGTAGGTAGCCAAATGCATTTTTGTGAATATCATCATTACCCCATTTTCTTCTAGCAGCAATTTCAACTTTTGGACGCACTTCCCAAAGTCGTTCAGCGTAAAGGTGTGCATATTGCCTGTTAAATGTCCTATCCTTCAATAAAAACCTTTGAGAACAATCTGAAAAATTGCTTGACTGTCTTTCGAATCTAGTGTGTGTTTGATGAGGCTTTGACAACAAGTCACTAGAGTGGTCATTTCCTCTTTTCTCAAACATTTTTCTTTTTTAGTTTTTGTTTATCGCCCTCCATTCGCGCCAGAACTCTTTCGTCTAGTGAGGTACAAATGTCAATGAACAAAGTAATTCGCACTAAAGTATCTCGTACATGCTTTTGGTGGGATCATCAAATAGTATGTTTTTAATTATATGTGAAAAAATTTTCCTACAAAAAATTCTATTATTTTGAGCTTTTTTAAAGTTTGCATGAAAAGAGGAAAATTTTATTTTTCACTTGAATTCTGGCCGACCGGTACTTTTTAAGTTAATTCATGTTTAATTTCCTAGAATTTAACTTTGCCCAATAATCAAAGATGCATGAAGTAAAAATCATTTACAAATCAATCAATATTCAAAGAGCAGTTCAAGTTTTGTGGCAGATTTAAGAAAACAAGTGTTAACCTTGGTAAATATCCATGGCCATGTGATATGAATAATAACTCATACATGTAATGTGAAAAAAAAAAATACACAAACTATCGCTTATACCATTTAAAGTAATTTTTCATATGAATATTCTCATTAATACTTAAATATCGTTTTCTAACATTTAATCATAAAATTTCACCAGTTAAAAAAAAGTCAATAAAAAATGTTCAGTGCATGCTGTAAATAAATTTCACTAAAAAGAGAATTTTCCAAATTGCTGCACTTAAGGTTCATTGACCCTCTACAAGAGAGATAACTCTCACTGGAATAAAGGACTATTATTCCATTCAATTATTGATAAGTTAAAGAGTATTTATGTCAAATTTTGCCGCCCAAGGTATACTGAAATTGTGTGAATTTTAGTTAGAAATTAGATTTCATTGGGGAAATGGTTAGCGTTAAATCCAATTTTTATATAAGTGAACAGGGGGTGATGACCCTTAAGTTCCGAGCTCAAAAATCATGCGCGGATCTAGAGGGGGTGGGGGTGGGGTCCGCCCCCCCCCCCCGGAAGAATATGCAGAGTTATTAAAAGTATATTAAAAGTATATACTGAAGCAAAAAAAAATGACTTTGGACCCCCACCCCCACCCGAGTAGAAACGTGGATCCCATCACCACCACCACGAAATAGGTTTATTTTCCCTTGAGAATGGATCAACAGGTTTTTTTTTTTTTTTTTTTTTTTTGTTTGTTTGTTTGTCAAGAAATTTCTTGATTGGATTTTTTTTTGACTGGAGTGATCCCCCCCCCCCTGAAAAAAATGTCTAGATCCGCGCCTGAAAATTATATATTACTTTGAATTCAAATCTCTTGGCATAGAGTTCTTTATTACATGTGCATATCTACATGTATATGTACGTGTATAAGATAAAAAGGTTTTCTTGTAACAGAAGTGCCTTACCTGTCTTAACTTATACAATAAGTCGAAAATGGAAGTAAGGTAATTACAAAACATTTATCATGGGCGTTACTTAAAGTTAACTGCTAGAAAAAAAAACTATTATTTTCATAAATGTGCATTCTAAAATTAATTCTTGACTATTCATGTTTGCAATGTTTCATAATATGTACAAATATACAAAAAAATTAAGGGGACATTAAAATTATTTTATTTGTGTCCATATGCATGAAATAACTTCACATAAAAAACAAACAAATGTTTCATTTCGCTTTTGACAGACAAATTCAGAATTTTCAATCTCAGTGTCCTTAAATTCGAATGAAGAGGCGCAAAAGACCATTCTATATTAGTCCATTTTGTATACTCGCAGGAGATGTAGATATTATCAGGTATGTATGGTGTATCTCGCCTTAAAGCCCGTGAACTCGTTGGAATCGTCCGCGTGGAGCTTGACCATCAGCGTGTTGCCAGGGTACTCCAATGTCCGTGGAGGCCTGTTTTCGTCACCCTGTTCTTCCCCACAAAATCTGCGAAAAGAACCCTCAATAAATTTCCATTCTAAATCTAAAATCTTCAAAACAGTCTTTGTTGCAGTTCTTTTCTCACCGAATCTTTTATTTTTCATTCTAAGCCTTTAACTTTTTTACTTTATGAACACCTTAATCTCGTTCAAATACCCCCTTTTTTTCACCCCGTCGCTTACCTAGCGCCACCTATGTGAGGCCCACCCAAAAACACTTCCAGCCAGTCATAGTAACACGTGACGTCACTTTCTACCATAAAATCCTCCATAGTGAGTGTAATTCTGGATCCGGGTGGTCCCTACGCAATGAAAACAAGACCCAAAAATCATTTAAAAGGGCCCGATTTTGAGCAATAAGCAGCATTTCGTATTGCTAAGATTTTTGTCTTACCTTAATGACCCAAGTACACTCTGCATAGGACGTGTAATCCCCTGGATAGTTTGGAGACGTGAAAACTCCACTCGTTCCTGTTAGTTCGCCTCCACAGTCTGGAAAGAAATATCATATATGATTTTCAAAGAGTAAAGAATGTAGATCTATATTATCTATAATTTTATGAATTTTTAAATTGACTTAAAAAAATAAACTTAACTTACTTGTGTTGCTTTGAGCAACTTCCGAGCAGTCTCTTCCGGAGAGTCCGTTGGGACACAGACATGCGCAGTTTGGTCCAACATATCCCTCATTTTTACAATTCAGTTGAACTGGACAACTTGCTAGAAACAAACAATGGTCAAGGTCAATGGAACATACATGTAAGAGAAGGTATAATGAATTATTAGTATTTATACCATATGATTGCTAGTTTCTCTAACAATTAAAACAATTTCACCAAATAGGTACCTGAACATTTATATAGATCGTTGGCAGTTTTCACGTCCAGAAAACTTAGAACATCCCTTTGACCCATCGTGTTAAGAAGGTTCTTCATGCGTGGTACGATTGTTTTTGACTGCCCATCCTTACTCATATACTGCAACACATATGTAATTCATCATAAAGTACTTCCTTACATTTTAGTACATGTCAATCAATTTTATCCGGTTCCGATGTTAAGTTTCGTGAGGGTAAACAAAACAGCAACTTACCGTTGGACCGTAATGCATTACAGAGGATACATCATAAGGTTCAATGTCTTCTATACTTCGAACACCAATTTTCTTAAAGTCCATTTCGAACCCCTGTTTGATATTATTGGTGTAAATTGTCACGTGATCGTCCCTGTCCGGTCGAGAGTGTTCGTGGTAAAATCCAATGCTGTGCGCAATTTCATGCGAAATAGATCCAATCTACAAATTCCAATTGCTCATTTGTTACGTTATATACAGAACAAAGAGTGTGTTTTTTCAATGCGTGTTGCAATTGACATACAAACAGATGTAGTTTGTAACTAAAACATAACGGAAATATACCGATTGTTTGCAGTATCCTCCAACCATTATTTCTTGGGGACCACCTCGTCGACCGACGGGAGACTGGCATCTTTCAAAAAAATACTTACATTTAGAAAATTGACACATTTTGTACTCTAAATCTGAATGAAATTCAAATGTTACATAGTTGTCCATTACTACAACAGCAACAGTCAATAATTTTTTTAAGAAGAGAGAAAATCATATTACATCTGCGTTCATGATTACATGACAGGACCCATAGGGAGCAGTATTAAGGGGGGTGTTCTCTATTGTTTAGTATATAATTGCAAAATTAGTATCCCCCCCCCAGCCCAGTTTCTAAAGGTCTGTAGTAATAAATTAGTTACCCTTGTGAGGGCACAAATATAATCCTGTCCGAGGACCCTGATCTCTGACTGTACTCCCTAAACCTCAAACACGTGCTCTCCTCCCACAGCTTCATGGCAGCCTTGATATTTGTTATGGCTTCTTGATCTGTTCGAAATTTGAAGAAGTCTTAGTGATTTATAGAGTTTCAAAATTATCAATTCATAAATTCATAAGTATGTTTAATAAAATAATAAGACCATAGAATGCGATGATTTGTTATTACAGAACACAAATTTAAAAAAAAAATCATTTAAAAAAATATCCTGGAACTGGAACTGTTATTGCACCAATCTGTACGTTTTGGACATCGGAAAACTTTTTAAAAATATAAGTAGATCTAGCTTTTGATAATAATACCGATAAAACTGCTAATTTATTACCAAGTCCACTTGACAGCTGATAATAAACTATCCCATTCGGCCAAAGTTTCATTTCATTGGCTACAGCCTTCCTACGGACACGCCCTCTAGATTCCATTTCTTGTAGGTCTTCTTTCTCTTCCGGTGAGAGTGACATATCAGATTCGAACTCCAGTCCATCTTGTTCTGCAGGCTTGTGGACATTTTTTGTTTTAATTTTACGGACTCTGTGTTTATTTTGATTAATATAATTATTAATCGGTGCCTAAAGATGAAAGAAAAAAAATATTGTATTTACTCATTGTAAAATTTTTACAAAAATTCACTATCTTTTTAATAAAGGAATATCATACTCACATTGGGAATTAATTCTTCCGAATCTGTCTTTGTACCAAGTCTGCGTAAAAAACGTTCAACATCTTCCAAATCTTTGTGTAACGATTCCCAGTCATCACCCTGAAGTTCAGCAAAACAATTTTTTTTAATTTGCCCAATGTTTTACCTAATAAGTAAATGTCCATCATTTTTATATTTAAAAAAAAAAACAAGTTTTTTTTTAAATACAAGAAATGAATAAATAATACAGTAAATAAATAAATGATAAATGAAAAAAAAACCCACAAAAACAAACAAATAAAACAAAAAACAAATGAGAAAGCAAAAATGATAATCTATGATAATATAAATAGTATTTAACAATATAACTGACTTATAGATTACTTAAGATTTTTTTTTCTTTGGACTTACTTTGTTAGCAATGGAAATTGGACTACCCAGCACGTGCACCACACTAATCAGAAGGCCCGCAAAAATTATCACCGACATGTTGTTGTTGTGCCTGAGCCGATGTGAACCATCTTTTATATAGAAACATTTCAAAGGAAGCCAACGTTTAGGTAAATATAATAAATATTGGAAAATTTTCATTACACGGCAGTGTGACGTGCCCTTTCTTATTTATGTGTACCTGAAAGACAAAGAGAGAAAGAAGGGGGAAAAACTTCAAAGAGCGCTGCCTTCCTTGGCCGCGTTGACGAAATTTCTTTGGGAATAATCCGAAGCATTGTGTAGGTGTTTAAAAGTTTATCAAGTCTTATTGTTGTTGCAGAGCTCTTGTTCGCTTGGCGGGAAATAATGGAACTAGAATGAAGTAACCATGATGCAAAAGTTTTACGTCAGGTATTCAAGTAAAATATGGAAGTTGCATAAATGATATAGATTTCATCATTAAAATTCGTCTTCATGGGTTTGCATATTGTTTTACTACACAGAATATAAAATGTCCGTGTCTCTGCCTTGTAGGTACTAGTGGTGTCACCTAATCCCATATTCAACAAAATATTTGGATGGAAGTTTGTTTTTAGTACTCTTTTGAGAGCTTTTATATTACATGATATTAAATTAAATAATACCAATATTTTTCTAAACATTCTTGAAAGTAACTATGATGCAAAAGAGAGAGAGACTTAAAAATTTCAATGCCCAGTTCTTTGTTACGCCCATATTGTTGTGATTGGTGTGAACTGTTTGACACACGAACTGACCTACATACCATAAGTATTTTTTTTTTCTATGCCCTTTCCTTCTTTTTTAATTTCTTTAAAAAAAAATAGAAAGAAAAACAACAACAACAACAGCACAAACAAAAATTCAAAAAGCATCATGAATTAATATAAAATAAAACTACAATATCGAAACTGGTAACAAAAGTAACTATGTACATGTATATGAGTACACTCTGTGCAATTTTATTAAATTCATCTGGCTTTTCCGGGTTGGTGGAGAGAGAAATATGGGGGGGGGGGGGGTCACAAGCAGGCATATATAAGGATTTCCTTAGAAGTCGACTTTCTAAACAACAGAAAATGTTTTAAAGGCTTAATTAAAATTAATACATAAAAAAGGTGCTTTGTATTTAAAAAAAATCAAAAGATACAATTAGATAAATAAATAAAAACAAAAAAGAGAAACAACTTAAAAGAACTAATAAGAACCAAAATTGATAAATAAATTGATAAATTAATTAATAAAGAGAGAAAGAAACACAACCAAAAACAAACAAATTCTTATGAAATATTAGTATTAAATATACTAGTCGTTCTTCTTATAAATCTGTGCAATTTTTTTTATCGCTTTATGTATAACTTTATTGAGAAATCTTAAAAAATGATACTAAACTTTATGTGGCTAAATTGATTCACTTTTCTTATGTAAGAATAGATTTAATATTTATTTTGATTATTTTTAAGGAAAAAAAATGTAGCGAGAAGTATTTTAAAACGTGTATTTCCCACTGTTGATTATTTACGCCACCTCATGTTACTGTGGATACCTGAGGGGGTAGAAATTAAAGCTTCACGGACATGCAGTGTTTTCCTTCCGATTACTGAAAAGTGCAATTCCAGATTCCATCGAGAATTTACACACACGAGAGATTAGTGTAGCACAAAGAATTCAGGGTGCAGTAATCGGCATATCAGAGTTACAGTGGTAATGTAATGCCGTGTTTATGTCACTTTCTAAACAACAAATGTGCAGAAAAATACAAAATAAACAGGGGGAGAACCAAGGCGGTGATATTAGGGGAAGGTAGAGGGAAGGGCATGATTTAATGTTCAATATCTCAGTCATCATAACAAAAATGTCCGTTTGATGGACTCATTGCACATTAGTCCCTTTTATCAAGGAAAATAACCGAATTTTAAAGAATTGAAAATAAGATTTTAAAAAATGAATAGAATTTAACAATCTCGTTTTAGAATATTTTTCAACTAAATTAAAGTTTTGTTTAAGACATTTTTTAGAGTAATCTAAATTCACTTGTAATATCATTTAGATTTCACATAAATAAGTTCCCAGAGTATGAACAGGGAAAAAACATATATATTTTTATTATTATTACAAAGAATGATATTGTAAAAAAAAAATATATATATCTATATGTCCCTTATTTACGACTTTGAACAGTTTACTCTGAAAATATAAGACCACTTGTTTCAAACTGGCAATTGCCATAATAAAGATTGAAAGATATTCTGAAAAAAAAAATAATAATTCGAAGTCAATTTAAACAAAATGGAGATAACAAAGTATATTGATCAGAATTTTTACGCGTGAGAACCAATATTATTGAAATTCAAACGTGACGAAGTCAAGAGCCTCTCAGTATTTCGATTTTTACCAGAGCACATCTGTATTATTAATTCCTATTATAAATTTCCATTTACTCTTTAAATGACAGTGTATTCACGGTATTGTATTGGCGATTTACAAACCTTTATATGCAAACACATATGGATTAAGGGGAAAGTAAGCAAACAATCACAGATACAGGTAAACAGTGAATATTTCATATGGATGTTTAAATAGATCACTTTTTATTCTTATTTGATACTTTTCATACAATAGCAGAGGTTAAGAAATTTCAAATTTAAAAGAAAGCATGAACATTGTTGAAGGTTGGATCATTAGTACTGATTGACCTCTTAATTAACAATAAGGCGATTAATCAGGATTATAATGTTGCATTTAATCCCCGTATGGTGTATTCCATTGCGAGTTGTTAGTTATGGCTGACGATGTAGCTGTGAAAAATATAAAATTTAACGGTAAGCTTTCGCTCTCTCTCTCTCTCTCTCTCAATGTGTTGGAATTTGCAATAACAAACATCTTCTCTTGGTTTTGATTAAATTTAGCTATGGAGACCTTTGCATTGGACAAAAGTAGATATGACATCAACACATCAACATCACCACCATCCGTTTTCCCGCCTAGATCCGCCACCCTTTCTTTCGTTTCCGAGCCATCAAGTCCCGGAAGTGGGACCGGAAGCCTCAATGTTTCACGACTGAGAAAGAATAGTGCAAAGATTCGCAAAAGGCAGATGAACAGTTACATGGCGAGCCCTATCCACTCGGCAACAAGTGTTAAGTCCACGGTCTCTAAACATCTGTCTTCAAAACCATGGGAGTACGTGCCTATTCTTACAGAGGAACAATATAACGAGAAGAAAGAACGCTTACTTAGAAACAGTAAATTAAAGCTTGAGTTGGAAAAGTACTGGAACATACAAACGCCGAGTCGATTGGAGAAAAAGAGGTTAGAGGAAATTTCCAGTGAAGATGAAGATTACGATACAGATTTAGATCAGGAGCTAGGTAACATGAAAGATTAGCTACTATATTGCAAAACTTCTGGTCCGGTGTCCCTATGTGAAAATATCAGAAGCCAATTAAAAGTACAAACTCGCTTAAGTCAATTTAAAATACAGTTGAGCTTTGTTATTCCGAACTTCTATATCTCGAATACCATGGATATGTCTAAGTGAGTTAAAAAAAACATCTACTTTTTCTTTATGTATTTCAACCTCGATATCTCGAAGCATCTGATATCTGAAAGTTTTTTCTCGGTCCCAGCGGGTTTAAGATAATGAAGTTTGACTGTATTCAATAATTATTGTTTTCAGCCTTTCCCCCACCTCCTTGAAAAAAATGGTTCATGTTTAGCATAATCTAAATTTCAGTTGGACTTGAGCTTATTGTTGACGAAAAAACAAAACAAATCAAAGATGATGGAGTTTTCCCGGAATATAAGCGCATGTGTAGGAAGTTGAACGTAATACCCAATCACTACCTCATACGTCATTCAACAGATGACGACATACGACTCCGGTATAGGTATCTCAGCAAGAATGATTGCACAGCAATGGGATACGAGATGAAGGCATGAGCATTTTGTCAATTATTACCAATGGACAATTCTATTTCAATATGATGTACGCATTACCTCTTAGAATTGTTTCGATATGTTATTATCTCAACGGTAAATCTTGATTATAATTCTTTAGGACAATTTAACCTTCTCCAAAATAGACCTAGAAGACAATGGAATGACAGGAAAACACATTCATGCTCTGGCAGAGATGCTCCTCCAGAACCATTATGTCTCGGAAATAGTATGTTGGTGAAATAAGTATTATACAATTTAAATTTTAAAGAAAACGATGCAATGAGTGACCCATCTTATTTGTTTTAATGGTGGAATCTTATCAGCAGAAACTCCGATAAAGAAAAAAATATCTTCCGTATAAACCTAAACGTGTCATTTCTTTTCATTGATTAATGATACACTAGCATGTAGTACGTTCATTACCCCCCCCCCCCCCCCCCCGTAATCAAGTTTAGGGATATATATTGAACTTTGTCCAGATCTCTGACTCTATCTGTCCTCAGAAAGTTTTTTCCGAAGATTATGTTTTTATCGCTCTCGGGCTTTAAGAAATAATACATACCGATTTAGCGTAAAGTCTTTGTCAGGATCATTTGGATAAGGTCAAAGTGTGTATGGCAGTTTTTAATCGAATATTTTTTGGCCACAACCTTGACATCGAACACTAGCTCATACTTAAAACAAAGGTTGATTGTGACTAGCGGGTTGTATACAGACCCTAACCCGGAGTAAGAATGAAGGCGTACATGTACATGTACAAGGCAAGGACAATCTCTCGCTCTGAAAAAGACATTTCTTAATTCTAAAAGTTCATATAGAGTTATATCTTTCAAAAATTGTATTATCAATATCATCTTTTACACATTTGCTTCCTTTATTTTATTGAATAACTTATTGATAAATAATTTATTTTTCACATATATATTTTTAAGATATGTGAAAAGAAAAAAAAAGCTTCAAACATGATTCGAACTTTCTCCAAATCACATGGTTAGGCGTAAGACTGAATGCGTTAACCATAACGCCACGAAGTCTTCTTGTCATTGATGTGTGTTAGTGTGGTTTAAATAAACGAGTTTGTTGAAGCGTATGATTTTTTCAGAAATATTCGATTTTCAAATAGAATGGGTTCAGATTCAATATTTTTTAAAAACATAAATTAGATTTTACATTTACTTTTCCGTCATTTAAACGTTAATGTAGAATTGAGACTTGACCCATTCATATTCAAAAATCATTTTTTATGGCTCCAATAAACCCATTTTCCAATAAATATGCTTAACTCGCAACTTTCACAAAAACAAATTATCAACCAATAAGTCATTCAATAAATAAATTGAATTGTTGAAGATGCCATTTCCAAAAAAAAAAAAAAAAAAATAATAATAATAATAATAATTTTAGAAAAAATATAACTTTTCCGTGATCTTTGAAAATTGAGAAAAATATTGTTTCAGAGCGGGGGATTGTCCTAGCCTTGTACGCCCTCTTTCTTTGACAAGGTCAAAGTCACATTTTTTAATCTGTTGCATTGGCCAAAACATTTAAGATGAGAAACATTATAGGATTATACTTGGCACATAGGTTGCTTGTTGTCATATAGGATACTGACCTAATATCCTGGTCACAAGGACATTTTCATTGGTTTGAAGTGTAAAGTTCTTGCCCACTTCATAACTTTGTAACTGAATAATATGATACTCAGTATTTGGCGTAATGATTGTCTGGGATCATAGGAATATATTTTAAAAAAAAACCCTGAACCAAAGTCATCTTTACAAGGTCAAGGTCACTGGTGTACAATTTTTAAGTTCACAGAAATGCAAAATTTTAATAAGCATAATTTTGTTTTGAAGGACCGTCGTGTACGTGATTGTAATCATCCATGTATTTGACGCAAAAATACTGAGTAGACAGGGTCAAGGTTTGATGGAATATTGTGGAAAGTCATATATTTATGCTTGACACAAAGGTTGCTAACGACCAGAAGAGGTGTAACAACCCTCAGTCTATTAAAATTCAAGAAGATAAAGAACACAGAAATTTACATTATGATTTTAAGCTCTACTGGTCAGAGACCAGAAGAGCTTATGCGATAGTATTTTTGATTTGGAATAATGGTGTTGCCATGATTAGTAAGTAAAGAATTTTCTGTGAAATACTTTCAGAATGCTTCTCTTCCTACAGTTTTGCTCTGATTTGCACGCAAGTAAACTACACTGAGATACATAATTCTTGATGAGCGGTCTTACCATGGTTACTAAAAATAAAAAAAAATTATGAAATTCTTTCAAAAGGCTAGTCCTCCAACAGTTTTAGTCTGGTTGCAATAATCTTTTCACAAAAAGAAACTAAATCAAGTACCATTATTCTGTTTATGGCTGTTGCAAAGTTTCAAGATCAAGTGTTACTTTTCTACTCCTTTGTTATATGTACAAAACAGTAGAGCTGGTTATATGATGGAAGAATTCCTTTTCAGTCTATTCTGAAATATGTCCTTTCTTTAGTTGCCCGACCGCGGAAAGGGGATTAGCCCTATCGGGACTGTTCTAGACTTACGTTAAAGGACTTATCGCATGATCTTACAAAAATCGTAATTTTATGAAAAATATTATCTATAACCTTATTTATTAAAATACTAAAAACAATAAACGTTGTTGAAAGCATATTTTGGGAGATATTGAGAGTTGAAATTCAAATACGGCAATATGCATATTTCAGTCGAATTTCGGCGAAATACTGCTCTGACGTCATAGGCGACAATTCGGTGATAGAGAGATGAGAATATGAACACTATTAACGGAGCTATCAATGGCAAATGCAGCTAAATTACCAAAAATGCTGAAAAAATTAATTCCTTATATGCTTTTCAATTACTACAGAAACATTAATTAGTTCTAAGGTATAAGGCTTTTAAGATATTTTCGTTTTTTATTCAAAACATTTAGAACTTGTAGCTCTAATTACGGCAATGTTTCGTGATCGGGAATTTATTTTTCAAGATCACCATACTTTAAAAAACGTATGAAGGCTTGCATAAATTAATATTATATACAAAACAAAGAATAACAAAGCTATATAATGTTCAATATGTGAATCAAAGAAGTTAATACATGTGATAAGATGACAAATCAAATTGCATTGTTATTGCGTGTTTCTTCGTCTTCGCTGCGTCTCCCTCGCTATCGTCGCTGGTATTTTTACAAAGTTAACAGATTTTTCAGATTTTTTCTTGCTGACAATTCTAACATATAAGGTTGAATATTCAATTTTATATCAATAAAATAAGCGATTTGGTCGTCCACAACGCAGAAAATTCAGGTTGTATCGCATATATTTTAGTAAGATTAATGAAGAGCTGATCAGCCATTGTCGCCTTTGACGTCACAGGGTCACGTGATCGCTATCTAATTAACTTAGATTTTTAATTCAGGGGTTTTCATTTGAGTCAATAATTTGTTAATTACCGTGATTTATCCACAGTAAAAACACAGAATTTATCATTTGTGGTCATAAGGAACATAATACGCTTTTAGTTTCAAATAATTTAGAAACATGCGATAAGTCCTTTAACATTTGGTTTTTTATGTACTTTCAGTGTTTTCCGTTTTAAAAATGCAAATGGAAAAATATTAAGACGTGTGTTAGTGTTTTGGGTGGTTTAAAAGATTTTTTTTTTTTTTTTTTTTTGCATTTTCTTTTAGAATTTGGCTAATAACCCAGTAGGGATCCCAGGAGCCAAGGTGGTGCGATACATACTCACAAATAATACTCATATACGAAAAGTAGATTTAACAGGTACGGATACGAATAGTTTCATACCATTATTAAAAGTGCTTTATTTCCTTTTTAATAAATTATGTAGATGTTTTGCTCTTAAAATTGTATCATCAAATAATAGACACGTTTGGCTACACGAAAAGATCAGGCGCTTGTACTAGCCATTATGGAAAATGCAGCCAAATTTTACATACTTGTACGAAATTTAGCTGATTTTTATGACCTGAGTCAAACTTGAAAAACTAATGTAATAGGGGATATGTCTTTATATACAAATACTTTATAGTTAATTATTTTATCTTAAATTTAAAAAAATAGTTGAAAAGTAGTTTTAAAAATCTTTGAAAAGTAGTGTTTGATTCTTTCAGGGTGCAAAATTCAGGATTTTGGGGGTAAACTAATGGCCAGTATATTACAGGTACGATAATGTCATCACTCGATACTTTTTTGTTATTGGTGAAAAAAAACTTTTGCTTTCTGTAGACTGAGGTTATATTTATTTCAGAGTAACGAATATATGAAACAGCTCCTATTAGGACGAAACGGAATCGGGGATGAGGCAGCCACACAAATTGGGAAAAGTTTAGGCAAGTGTTGTTGTTAAGGGTGATTTACCAGTAAAGTTTGCAGTCCTACAACTGTTTTCATCACCTCTTCATATTGGTAAATGGGTGAAGTTGGTTTGTTATACATGTATTTTAACACTTAGTGGAACGTTTGTTTGTTGTTGTTGTTTTTTTTTTTACATAGTGCGTGTATTTCTTTTTTCCCCTAAGGTTTTTCTTTGTATTTAAAGTAATATTTTGTAGACCTCTTAATGCTAAACGGAAATTCTGTCTTACTTTCTCTGTCCACCTTACTGGTAATTTTTCTAACTTATTTAATTTCAAAATTAACATGAAATTCAATCAAATTAAATTTTATATATACCAAAGGAGGTAATTTCGAAACAAATCAAAGCTGAAGATAAAAATGTATCATGCTTAGAGTAATCTTTCTTACAGTTAAGAACATCTCTATACACTAGTGATTTTTTTCGACTGAAAAAAAGTCTACCCGGTGTAGACTTGATTTAATTCATTTTCAACGTCGGGAACCTGAAGTGTTCAACGACAGCGACGTATTGTTGAAGAGAAATAAATGTTGCTTACTTAAATTGAAAGGGGAGGGGTACATCTAATAATCAAAGGACAGATCACTTTAACTGAATAAAAGTACAATGCATTTGGAACTCTTCAATGTGAAGTGTAAATAGGGTCCTTAACCGCATGCTTGGACCAGTTTGTCCGATAAGCCGTTTCAAATTTTAATACTTCATTCTCCTCAATGATTACAATTTATTTTAATATATAATTTTACACGCACACATATACAACTACTTGTACTAATATCCAATACTACATTGTACATACATTCTAGTATCTGAACTACCTTATTACTACATTGCACACACTCTGTCATTTAGAATAGTGCCATGCTTACTTTCCTTTGACAGAATCCAACAGTTCTCTGGAGATTTTAGATTTGTCCTGGAATCAGATCACTCGTTTTGGTGCCCAGGCCCTTGCTACAGGACTAAAGGTAATATTCAGAGCTGCAGGACTGTTATATTGCAGTATGTTAAAATTATAAATTTCTGTAAAAAAGTGTATACATTTATTAAAATAAATAAGAAGATTCATTGGCATTTTGATGGATTTTACTTTTTTCACAAAATATAACGTTGAAATTTATTGTAAAAGAAATAATAAGTTTTTTTCGGTTGGTTTTGTTCCTCAATGATAACCCTTTAATTCTCATTACAAATTGAATCTCAAATCTGAAAGCAAGTTTCAGAATAAAACTGAGTTTCATTGATTTGTAACATTTTTTTTATTTCTAGCACAACCAACGATTACACAGTCTCATTTTAAACATGAATGGGGTCGGCAAAGAAGGGGGGTGTTCCTTAATTGAATGCCTTCGCCTCAATTCCACCTTGACCCTTCTTGATCTCGGAGCCAACAGAATTCCTGACGATATTGCAACGGTTGTTGCCAGGGTCTTACCCTTAAATAAAGCTCTTCAAACTTTAAAGGTATAGATTTTGTATTTGAACTTCGACGCTTCTAATATTTCATAGTTTTAGCCTATAGCTAACGCAATATACTAATGCTGTTAACAAAAGAAATAATTCGTAATACCATTTCAATTTCTACCTTCAGCATCAAGTACTAAATATTTTTTAAGTTTTTTAATTCGCAAATTAATATAAGGAGCAAATTGCAAAACTTGATAAATGCCCCACTACAACTAAAAATATATGAAAATGGGTAACATTAAAATAATTCTGCCATTCATATTAAAATTCTTGATTTTTACAGCTGTCCTATAACCTGATTACTTCTGAGGGAGCCATGACTCTTCTTAAGCCCTGGTCATCCAAAATAAAGAAGAGAAGTCCGTTACAGACATTGGAACTTGATGTAAGAAGCCTTTAACACTAGCTCTATACTAGTGTTCTTAGAAAACAGAAAAAAAAATCCATTTAATAATCAGGTGCTTGTTCTAGCCATTATGGAAGCAAACTGATTTACGCAGAAGAGATCAGCATTAATTTGTTCTCGCCAACAAAAAATATCAGATTGAACTTATCTACCCTTTTTCACTTTATTATTGTGTTGACACTTCTTAATCAGGAAAGAATATATATGTCCCTTTTTAAATTTCAATGTATAAACAGGGAACAGATGCACATACAGAGTTAGCGTTATTGGTTCACAAACTGAGAGAAAAACGGGGCCTCAATGTGACACTCCGATTACCACCCTCCAGGAGGGAGAAATCTTTGGATCCACTAATGGGTAGTCTGATGTACATCGTCAAATTCTGCGACAAAGAAGATGTGGATCTTACGGAACTCTTTCCTAAGTCGTATGAGGAAAAGGGCGTCCTTATTTCAACAGACGATGTGGTTGAACTTATCAAGGTAGGTCAAAATGCGTGGAACGATCCGGAAATATTTACAGAAAAAGGGGGAGGAATATTACATGTATATTATGGGGAAAGAGTGCTTCCGTGCGCATATTAATGTACATTGTATCCGTTTACTTCTAAGATATCCATAAAGCCATTTAATTAAGACTAGTATACATTTCCATCAAACTACACTATCTGTTTACAGCATTCTGGGAAAGACATCAGCAAGTACAGAATTCATGAACTTAAAAGAACACTACAAGAAACCCGAGAGCGCCGATTTGAATTAAAGTATGTTTTCAAATTAATTGTTCTGAATGGTATCGAAATTCAATGACCTTTTTCATTCCCGTTGCCAACGTTTATTTCAGGGAACTTATGACTATACATAATCAGATAAAACAGGGAAAAGATCCGTACAGAGAGGATTCCCTCCGGAGTGCTATAGCCGGTAAACGCCGAGGTATTCCGACAGAGACTCTTCAACCATCCACTCCAAGTACGGCGGGAGTCCGATTCCGGGGAGGAAGTGACGACGAAGATTAATGGCGTCCAGATCTCACTGAAGAATTTTTTCAAAATATTCATACAAATTTGCATGATTATATTCAATAAAGTTCTTTAATGTATATTATATGCATAATATAACAGCTACAGTATCATTCCTTTTCAATTTTCCTATACCAATCATTTCCATAAACACAAGAATATAATTACTTCTCAAAATGTCATTTATTTCTTTATTAGACTTTCAAACACGCAAACCTAGACAATTACATCATACAAATGTAGTAGCTAGAGACAACAGTTTAACAAAGTTCGGGTCCGTGTTGGATCGCAAACACGAAGGAATTGGTGTCCTAATACGTGTTCCCAATGGCTGTCCATTATCGTCAACAAGAACTATATTGTTGCTGTCAAACTTGGGAATTAACGGTTGTTGATTCTGTTTACATCCCACGATGTACCCTTTCTTTTTTTCGTGTTCTATGGTTACAAGGACTCTGTCGCCAAGGCGACCCACGTGCGTTTTGTTGTACACGTGAATTATCCGCACGGGTCTCCCAGACTGCTTGGCGTTTCTTCCAATTTTGCTATTATCCACCACTTTAACTCTGCTTAGGAGCCGAAGTTCATTAAGAAACGTAGTGGTACTGAAAGTAGATGAATTTCTTTTCATTGTTAATTTTCACAATAAAAAGAATACATGTACTTCGCCAACAGTTCGGTGAAAGAAAACACAACTCGTTGAAATTAAAATAATTTCCAATCACAAACCATGGGGAGCTTTCATTCGCTTATTTAATCTTTATTTACAAACATGATGCGAAAGCATATCTGTTACAATATAATGTTTAAATCTCCCATATTCAAGTATACAATATGTTTTTTTCTTTTTGTTTTAGGGTTGTTAATAAATGGAAGAAAAAATTATTAACAGTAACAAAAGGTCTATGGGCTATAACGCTAACTTGAATCCCAGTAGTCATGCTTTTCTTCATCAGATTTTATTTAAATTGTTTTTTCCCTCTTAACTCACATAAAAAACTCCGATGCAGGACATTTTGTGGAATTTCCAAAGGTATTAATTAACATTTTAGCAGGAACTTTATTGGACATTTCAACGGGAGAAGTGTTCACCTGCGGAAATTTAATGGACATTTAAGCGAACCCCCCCCCCCCCCCCCCCCGAGTCAAAGATTATAATTATTCTTCTTGAACAATCAAAATAGTGTCATCAAAAATTGACCAATGGTCAGCAGATTAATGACTAAATTGCCAACTATTACGGGGATTTCCATAAAAAAAGTAAGAAATCACATGAACAAAACCCACTAGTGCACACAGGTAAATATTTGTATACATTCATTTGTAATTATAACACTGAATAGTATTGGAAGTAGAGGTGGAAACGAATCCAAATACATGTAGTACGATTTGTGACGGGTTTCCTCACAGGGTTGAGGGATAACTATAATATGAGGTATTTTCTGGGAGATGCTTTTTGTAACACTACTGCAGAGTTTTTCTATTGTTCAGGGTAGTGTGCGGGGGTACTCACTTCTCGACTGGTTACCTTAGTTTTGTTTGTTTGTTTGCTGTTTAACGTCCCTCTCAAGAATTTTTCACTCATATGGAGACGCCACCACTTGCCGGTGGAGGGCTACAAATTTTGACCTATGCTCGGCACTCAGGGCCATTGAGCAGTGAGGGATCTTTTTTGTGCCAGCACCTACTGCGACACGGGACCTCGGTTTATACAATCTCACCCGAAGGACCGGTCTCCACGTCCCGCAGTTGGATTCGAACCCGCGACGTAAGGATCAACTCCTTACTCCGCGACTCTAGAGCAGATGCTCTAACCACTGCGCCACGTGGGCGACGGTTACCATAGTAGGTGTTTTACAACTACAAGATTCCAACAAGTAGAGCTTTTTCAAAAAGCTTACCGTCTTTAGCAACAACCTTAAACAGTAAACTGACCTAAACCTATCAGGGTGTATAATTCTTGAAAATTCCTTGGCTTTGTATTTCTTCATTAGTTTTTTTTCTGACAACCTACCAAATGAAAAGTTGACAGATGATCGGCTGTCTCTGTAAACTTCGGCTCTGCTGCCGAGATCATTCGGCAAACCTATGTAGATGAGGTATGAATCGGCCGAGGTGTTGCCGAATGCTGCCGAGATTAGAAAGACAGTGCTTGTCTCGTTCATTCAGACACTCGGCTGTCTCCGTAAACTCCGATGAGCTCTCTGCTGGGCGGAGTTTACGGAGACAGCCGAGCGTCTGGTTGAACGAGACTAAGACAGTGCAAAGCAAAGGGAAAAAGAATACATACTTACTGTAAAGCTTGCATGCAATTAAAATCAATTCTGTTACCAATGAAAATATAGAAAAGTTTTTTGGTAATTGCTATGAAAAAACTGGCATGTTATTTGGAATTAAATACTGCCAATTTCCACTGTTCGTTTTGTCATATTTTTTTATGATTGAAAATTTTGAAAAATTGTTAAGTCGTACGAAAATTAGATCATCAGAAAATTATCTCCCTTGCCTTGAACAGCATTTCAACCAATGAAATAATTGAAAATTTTCTCATCATGCAATTTCTACCAATCACAAAAGAGAGGAAGTGCATAGTCCGAAGACTGTAAAATACTTCAACTCTGTATACCGTCTTCCAAGGAAGACGGTAATGATTATTACACAGAGTACATTCAGTACGATTTATCTCTTTTCTACTTTCATCTTCTTATCTTCTCGTAATATATTTTCTTTGATTGAAAGAGAGAACGAGTGAAGTTTTGAAATAAAGTCCATTGTATTTCTGTAAAGTATTATTTTCAGCTATCATATTGATTATAAGTAACGCTAGATATAGATGTTGTAATTTAAAAGTATAGTTTTAGCATTTTCACGATCAGCCATGGTCTTGAAATTTATTACTGCTGAACCTGTGATTATTGTTTTAAAATAGGTTCAGATTTGTACATGTAAATATGTGACAGAATACCTGCTACGCGCTAAGTCAGCCTTATTCCATAAATTGGTACGCTATAGCAATAATTACTTGGTTATACGTTTTTAATATAATTTGTTAAATTATTACATTTTCAACAGTGAAATACTGTGATTTATTTATTGAATAAAAGTGATATTCTCTCAGTGTGAAAGAATACCAAAAATGATATTCTCTCACAGTGTGAAAGGATATTAAAGTAAGTAAAAATAATTTCTGGCCTCTCATACGATAGAGATAGTAACTAAGCATCTTGATAGAGCTAAAACTGCAAATTTCTTCCTAAATATGTTGCTAAAATCCATGCTATTTAAGGGGAAGAAGGACCTAGAGCTGAAAAAATACTTGTCATTCAATTTTTTTCATATTTTGTATATTTCTTATTTAGTATGTCCCACATATCTTAAAGCAGTTATTTCATTAGGTTTCTTGCTTTATTTTAGAGATATTGATTGACAAATACTATGCCCTACGGTGTCTAAGTGGAGTTTTGATTCTCCATATTTGCGGGCTAATTACTCTGTCCATATTTGGATTTTTTATGAATACATAAAAAATATCTCAGTGGACATCTATATTTTAAAATATTTCAGAGTATGAATAGGGTTTAAAATTCGGAAACATAAGTTTCTTCTATTACACTGCATCTGGGTAGGGAAAATTACGTACTTTTTAGGACAACTTAAACAACAAAAAAAATTAATTTGCAAAAAAATCTATCATTCAATATTTTTAAATTTACGTTGAAATGCAAGTCCTTCGTTTTATTGTTTAACTGTAAAAATATCGAATGGTGAAGCTGACCTTAATATTGCTCAGGACATCGTTAAACAAGACATAAGCATGGCAAAAACGTGTCATGTTTACATTTCTGGAGTACGGGAAAAACCAACTATGACGTCACACGTAAGCTAAATAAACGAAATAAGATATACCTACATACGATTTCCGTCATCAGCCATACAAAAATAATTTTTATGTTCCCCGTTTCTCAAAATATCTCATAATACATTGATTATGACCTGTTTTTACACAACGATACTGCCAGTATTCACCGAGTATGATCTTGCTGTACTGACAGATTGTGTATGACGTCACCGACTTGTTGGACGCGCAGTGTAGGGAATCAGAGGAGTGGAACAACATATTCCGTAATTTGTTAATGTTTACAAGAATGTTAAATTTTTTTTATTATTTTCATATTAGATGGTAATTAAATCAAAATAAATTGTCAAAAGTCTATACAAGAACCGATGGTTTACACGTTTTGCACTATTCATAAACGGAAACTATGACGTAGATAAACAGTCATGTGACCATATGTCCTTCGTCCCCTTAATGTTTTCAATCTGACACACAACTTCTAAGCTATGACGTCTCAACTGCTCAACTATGACGTCAAGCCTATGACGCTGTGTTAAAGGTCATATGAAACAGTTCTTAACACTAGGAGTTTACACTTTAAACGTAAAGACTGGTATGAAAGAAAGTCAAATCACGTTTAGTAAAAAAAAATTGCCTTTGCTTAACTGAAAAATGAAGGCCTAAACTTGTCCACTTGATAAATTTGTTACCCGCTTATCGTTCTTGATTTTGTGTTTTTATGACGTCACAAAGACCCATTGATGTAAATAACGCATTAGATCTAGTGTAATTTCACCGTATTTTATTGAGTTTAATTTTAGTCATTTTTGTAAGTATAAATGTGATTATGTTTTCAGATGAGCTATCTGATTCTAAAACACAGTTTACTCTATTTGAACTAATCGTTAATTAGACACAGCAACTGAAAACGAGAGCTTTTCATCGTAGGATGATCCTGATGAATACCCCGTAGTTCTAAATCAAGATTTTTCTCCTCTAACTATGATTAATTATTTTAAATTAATACTTCAGAAACAAAAGTCTTCTTATTTCTGTTTGATACGTATATGATACATGATGTTTTTTTTCCATTCCCAGTGAAATCGTATAATTAACAACAAAAAACAGTGTAATTAATTAATATTGACCTGAAGCTTCTTACGACAAAAAATTTAATGGGCATGCAAAATCTGTAAAATAAAGTTGTGTCATATATTGAGAGGGAAATATATGTAGCTCAAGAGTACCCCCCCTTTTTTTTCCCCCAAATAAACAAGGGGATGATAAAGTGGATCAATGAAAAATCGGCGTATTTGAATGCGCGCTTTCTGCAATCTGAAACACGAGGACTAATGTAAAAACAATATAGAAATAGGGGTTTATGACGACATCATCGTAATTTTGCTGTCACAAGAAGCACGATTTATAAAAAAAAATTAAAAAAAAAATGGCTCGAAACTTACCGGCATTACGAGAGTGTACATGTAAATATACATGTACTGTAATGTTACGGTGCTGATACTTCTTACAGTTTGGCTGAGCAATTGCAGTTTGAAAATACTCATACACTTCGTGCATAAATTGATCAGTTAAAAAAATCCATACCCCCATTATTTGCAAGACTGAATCTGAACAATTTTCAAAATTAATATTTTTACAGTTCATTTTTTTTTAAATCAGGCTAATCTGTGTTAAAATAAACTGATACAAATTTAAACAATTCGGTCTGTGAAAAAGTGGATAGAATTTCGTTTAATGTCTGACTTCTTAAAATTATTACGATAATATAGTTACAGTGTTACGTGTACACTGTATATGTACCAACTTTTTGGTAGGAAAAAAATACGGAGAGAGAGAGAGTCATCGAGACAGGGAAAATCAGAGAGAGAAGAGGAAAAGTGATTAAGAAAGGAAGAAAGAGAGAAAGCGATGGAATCATTTCATTTCCCATAAATAAATGAAATCATTTATATGCAGGTTTAGTTTCAATTTTACACACTGCGGTCAATCGAATTCAGCTAGGCGCGTACTACCGAGTACATAGATAGCATCGTCTAATCATGGCTTAAAAATTTTAATCAGAAAACAAATCATCAATATTCTTATGTAAGAAATTTATTCAATTGTAAATTATTTGACAGCGTCTATATATAGTTACTCGAGTACAGATCCCCGCTCTTTGTCGTATCGTCTCTGTCGATTGAATTTAAGTGTCGAAGAAAGATAAATTACACAGACAAAACATACTAAAATCTTGCAAATATGCAATAGGATGTGAAAAGACACATACTATCTTGTTTGAACATCGTATATTTATGCGACGTTTTAGCCCAAATAATGATATTTCTTAAAAATTATGCTGCAAAAGACATGATCAGTTGTATAAAATGTTAGTACTGAATGTAGTGACTGGGTCTTACTGACGTCATAAGCAAGGGAGATAAGCCGCACTAGTTGAAGTTCATTTCTGCAGTCAAGTAATTTTGATCGACTCTGCTGCCACTAACTTGCATAAAAAATCCAAAATGTAATTTCAGGCTTATTAAAGTAGCTCAGATGAACTTTCCGTATACAACCAAAAATGCTCTGGACATTGTTTCATATGACCTTTAAGAAAAGACAGAGGCAAAGGGAAAATCAAAGAAAATGTAATAAAAATAAAATTCAATGTTTTGTAGCTGAATATGGAATTTATTTCACGAGTGGGACAGGATTTTTTGATATTTTCACGAGTGCTTCTATTCATATTAACGGAAATTCCTATCTGAACACGATTTTGGTAATTCTGAAATTTGTAAGAGTTATTTCCCTTTTTATGCATTCATGAATTTTGAACAGCTACAAATGGTTAAGGTATTCAATGTATAATGAAGGGATTTTGAACAATTTTTGAATCATCTTGAACTAGTTAAAATGTACTGCTAGATAACAATGAAAGTGACATGATCCAAATTCACATGACAGATAACATGTAAGAAGCCAGTCATTTTGCACCTTAAAAGTTTTTGAAAAGTTATCTGCCCTTGATGAAGAGAAGAATTTGTTCAAAATATGTATGGTGAATGATTCATTTTATTTCATATTATAATAAAGAGAGAGTTTATGCATATATTCACCAAGAGGTTTGTATGAAATTCAAATTACTTTTTACAATATCTGCATAACACATTCACTGCCCATAGACTTCAATGTTAACTTCAAGGTACAATTAATTGTATAATAATTAAAATTTGGTAAATTCCTTTGGTGGAGTATTTTTGTTTGATAATACCTTCAAAATGCTACCATGATTTAAAAATCAGACCATTCATTTATTAGGTACAAAAAATGGTTGTTATACATTGAATACCTTAAATCTATTTCTAGTAAAACCCGTGTCGATTTATGAGGACTGCATATAATTGAATATGTTGTTTGATGTCATATACTTATTGTGTTTTATTTCTTATAGGACTGATTCATTGTTTATTCTTTGATTTATTTATTCCTGTGGAATGGGATCCAATAAATAGGCGAACCCTTAAACCCACTGTGTTGTTCCACATCTATATAACACGGTCACACGTTTACAAAAAAAAATTGCCGAAAACCCTTAAAAATTAAAAAGGTCGTAATTCTGTCAGAAATCCCTGAAGCGGAACGAGATGCAGATTTGGACAGTAACTCATCAAGATACACTCACAAACCAAAAATCAGCTCAATTACACAGTATCTGCAAACGTTTTGGAAAAAAGTGAGGAAAACCAAGTGGGACAGACTGAAAGGCAGAGGGACAGATAGAAGGACAAACAGACGGACACAGAGCAAACCTATATAGTCCTCTCCGGTTTCATCAGTAAGGTAATAATTATGAACCTGCTGTTCATGAGAGGAACCTTTACGGATTTTCCCTATAAATTGTTAATTTTTTATCCCTTTTTGTCACTACCATAATGTCTGCAGTCATAATTTGGAGAGAAAAAAAATTGACATCTGCACTACCTGAGAATACCTGCATGTCAAAATGACTCTAGCCTAAATTCATGCCCCTGCTTTTGTTGGGAAGAAAGATTTTCCTCCACATATTCTCATGTATTCCATATTCAAACAAAACATATCCAGTAGACTGGTATCTTACCTAAATTTCCTGCGAAAGATTTGTTGCATAAATGACATCTGGAAAAAAAATCGACAAGTTTAAAATTAATAGAAAAATGGTTGTCTTTGGAGGAAATTCGAACGTTTATACACGTCTCTGGTTTATACGAGTCACATAGAAGTATATTTCAGACATTCAGGGACAATGTTAGTTGTCCCATATATGATTTTAATAATACACAATACCTTTGTGCTAAGCATGTCAACTCCAGCTAAAAATACAATTCTGCTCCCCAAATCATGCTTGCAGATGGAAAATAAATCGGGCTCGGACGCCGTATTTTATTCGATACCCCGTACATTATCCCATTCGATTTCAAGTTTTCATAGCTCGCTCCAGATACTAAGGCAAGAGCTTTTCAACTTAAGCTGAAAAAAAAACAAACAAACAATTTCTTAAAATTCTGTCGAATTTTTTGACAAGGACTTAGATCGAAAATTAAATTTCCATACTGCATCTAGACTTAAATTTATGTTTTCATTTGGATTTAATCTTCATACACTGTATTTTATAGTAATACAATGTATATATTACAAACACTTATACTTATGTTTCCTTTTATATTAACTTACAATTATAAATGTGCATTTGTCCTCAATGTATGCCATGACAGCTATAATAGAAACAAGTTCCTAACTATAAGAAAGATTAAAAAAAAAAAAAAGAGTACGTTCTTAATTAAACATGATTAAAATTTTCTTCGCAAGAAACTTTTAACAGCAGAATAATTGTACTGAAACTATACAATATATAATAAAAAATAATACACCACTTAAAGTATTTAAAAAGGTAATAAATAGCGGACTTCACTGAGATTAAGTGGGTTCGGGTCAGGGGAACAAACCCAAGTTTTAAGGAAAGGTAAAAGCTTATGGAGAATTCTGATCCTCACATTGTACACATATATCTCGCTTAGCATTAGGCTGTCTAACGTTAATTCTGTGTTTAACATTAACCATGCGCGTAGGTTTTGAAGAAATTAATGTTTAAAAGGCAAATCTTCGGGGGAAATATTATTCCGATTTGGTCTTATTTTTATCAACTAAAAAACTGCATTTCATAGGAATAGACAACATTTTGGGGTCATTTATGAAGTATTTTTAGGATACTTACAGATGCAATCTTTTAAATCGACATATGTACTGAACAAAACATTAAAACGACGTGTTTCCAAAATATTCTCACTATCACGACATTTTGTTTATTTAAATTTCTCTCTTGTAGGTTGTGAATTTTTTGGCGTCGTTAAACATAAAATTAATTTCAGACAGCCTTATCCGGTGTCAAACTCTGACTAAGCTATGTGAACAGTAAGTACTCTCACCCGAAGACAACATTGTGCAAAAATGTCCTATTTGAAAAACAAGAAGTAAAATGAGATGCTTGTCCCCTTAAGTGTTTTAAAATTGTTTTTCAACAAAAGGGGCCACGTAAGGGTGGAATCCATGTAAGATGAATAATAAGGGTCATGATATTACACCCCCTCCCCAAAAGAAATCAACATAATGATTTTTTAATATTTTTTAATATGCAATTTCTATATATCATGGTCGCAAATGCGGAAACAATTGTGAAACTCCAAAAAATTAACACTCACCCCTTTTGTAACATCTTTTCATATAAATGTTACATTTAATGCAAGTTTGAAAAACTCTTGGGAAGCCCTGGGAAGTTAAAGCATTTTAGATATGGATTAGATATATCAAGGTTTGTATATTTAACAATTTTCTTCAGTCAATTAAAATAATCAAAATTTCACAGATTTCAATTTACTGCAATACTAGTGTAAATAATATCAAAGTATAGCAACTAGATTTTTGTTTGTTATTTTAAATTTTATGATAAGGCGATGTACACAATTTCAACACCAATGCTGCCACATTTTGAAATTGAATTGTAAATTAAATAGGGGCCTATCCCTGCAATTTTAAGGATCTTCATTTAGCTTTAAGTTGAATTAAAAAATCTAAACCAACTGAAAATTTCAAAATTATATGAACATCTCTATCAAGGTATCGTTGTCTAAAACATACTGATTTTCTTAGGTATGTTTGAGGATTTAAAAAAAAATTGCTTCCTCAAATCTCAACCAAGGACAACACTACTTAGAATGCGACGTCTGTCGAAATCCGGCTGCCTTTACTTGCAGACGATGTACCGTAAAACTCTGCACTACATGTGTTGGTCCCCATATGGTTCTGAACTCAGAAAACGGTCATGATGTAGTTAAATACAGCGAACTAAATAAAACTGAAGGAGGGGAATGTCTTGCCCACCCCCAACAACAGTGTAGTGCCTTCTGCAAGAATTGTGATATTCCAATCTGCGTCCTGTGTGTGTCTATAAAACACAAGACTCATGAGATGTCAGAATTATCAGAGAAAGCCGGCGAACTATCGGATTTTATTTCAAAGGAAAATGAACGTTCACAGTCCATGCGATCAGAACTGGAAACAATTCTGGAACATACTAGAAAAAGAATAGCAGCTCTTGTAACCTTTGTAAATATTTCGATTAAATCAGCCGCATCTAGGGTAAATTTTGTTGATGTGCACCAGCTGGGACGGAAGTGCAAGAACGGTAACTCTAACTTTACAAATGTTCTGTATTAAATAAAAATTCCAAGCTTTGTAATAAAAATATTGAGAAATTTGGTTGTCTAAGTCGTATGTTAAATGTTAATCTTCATCCATACAATCTGTTAGTTGGAGTTATTTTGTTATACACAGAACTTACCGTTACATATATTATGAAGAGAAAATTCGGGAATTTTCCCTCTTTCATTTAATGTTCCGAATGACATTACACTTAATGATGACGCCCGAAAATACCGGACACTTCCGTCCCAGCTAGTGCACATCAACAAAATTTACCCTAGATGCGGTTGATTTAATCGAAATATTTACAAATCGGGGGCACATAAAAATTAAATGGAAATATGAAAAAGAAGAAGAATGCGTAACAAATTTATTGATGTATGCACATTCCATGTGTTCTTATGCTTTAGATAAATAATCAGGCGAAGTTTAAGCGAGGTGAGGCAGACGACGAGAAAAGAGTTGCAAGCCTTCTCTCTTTTTATGTATCAGTCGAAAACGGTATATTTAAAAACAGCATATAGAGACAAAAGAGTTACATTATTGATAACATATAGTGCATATTAGAATACAAAAATAGGAAAAAGGTGACTCGACCCCATATTTCAAAAGAAAAAAAAAATGGAAAGGGGGGGGGGGGTCCAGACCCCAAGTGCCTGTGCCACAGACAGCATGCATCATAACATTATCACTGAATTCACCAATAACAAGATCCACATGCTGGACAGGGACGGCCGATTTCTGAGGTATACATCATTCCTGACCTGGGGATATTTGCACCACTCTGTGTGTGTGTTGTTCAGGATGGGGATTTAATGGTAGGAGAATGTAAAACGGGAAAAGTCAAAAGAATAAAGTACTTACAGTAACATTTGGATTCACTGGAGGAAGGTGTATTTTATACGGCTAGAAAATAACCCGTATGTAAAACAGAGAAGGTGTGGAAAAACTCATTTTCGCATAGCCATTTCCATTATACGAGGGTCGATCAAAACTTATGCAGATACTTCTATACTGAAACGCAAAAGAAACGCGGCATCCTATTTGAGGGGGAAATATTATATATAGGATAAAATTTTGTATCTAAAATGTAAGGACATCTTGAACTTTGTAAATATCGGTAATTTAACGGTTGAATGATTTTCATACCATTACCGGAAGTTAAGTTTGAGTCCGCTTAACAGAAATCAAAAATTGCATGTTTAACAAAATATTTGGCAATAATATGGGGTTTTAAGAATTTGTATCTGTTCATCATAAGTAATGAAGCAATGTTACGAAAAATAAATTCTCCTTTCTTTTCCGTAAGCGATGCCAAGGCTTCCTAAAAACGACTTTAGTACGCATTTCCATTGCTCTAGCTGGAAAATATCAAAATAAAGGTAATGGAGAGTTGCAGATGCAAATATGCAACACATCACGCCTCAACAGGCTCTTACGTACTAGTATCTTTAGCATGAATGACAGTCCTTGGACCAGAAGTACAAGGGTTACTACACTGCGCTAGCCCAGAGGAAATTCGACCTCATCATCTTGAAAAACAGGCATTTAAAAATGGCAAAGAATATTTCTTTCGCTCAGATCTCGAGATTGATGAACCTACTGCATCGTAGAAATCAAGCTGCAACTGTTGTACATGGCATTCTTGCACACTGTAATTGAATGGCCGGGGGTGGGGGTGGGGTGTTTAAACATTCATGTGTTACTTTCTAAAGTTAAAAGATTATAATTTAACATTTTTATCAAATCTCTGATGTTTATAAATCGAGTTTTACCTAACTGTATTCGTTTTTGGAAATCATTAGAAAAAAAATTCAAATATTTGTAGATTACTGCTTGTTGCGTTTCTTTTGCGTTTCAGTATATTTTCCGATGACTTATCGGGTATTCCAAATTCTCATCTGGAAGAATAAAAGAAATTCATTATATAATCCTAACATATAACATAATAAAAATAAACAAGTAAAGTAAATGAACATCGAGAAACAGTTGATATGATAACCAGAAATAAAGGTAGGGAGCAATGAAATATTTTCTAGAAGTAAAGCTCCTGCTTTTATACAAATTACAATTTGATGACGGAAAATTTGAACGCATTGCAAAGACTATCAATTTTGTTCCAAATAAGATGGTTTTCTGATAAAGTATTGTGAAATTGAGACGTCAAGCTATTTCCTGGAACACGACTTTTTGATTTTAGAACTGTGCTGCACTCGAGAAATCCACGTCAGGTCAAAAAATCTTAATAGGTACTGCATTCTTTATGCACTTCCGTTACGTTTACCTAAGGATTTTTCAACGCACTGACTGCAATCGTGTTTAAGAACTAACTGTGGGTTTCTTACGAGATGCAGAGTCAATCCGATAGTAATGAACTAAGATAGAAATATGTGAACCGACATTCAAGGTTGAAATTAAATAAATACATGTTTTTTATGCCCCCGTAATCGAAGATTCTCAGGCATATAGTTATTGTCCTGTCCGTCCGTCTGTCTGTCCGCAATAAATTTTGACTGGTTGTAGCTAGCCTTTTATATTTCACATGTGTATTACTTGTGATGACCTTTCTGTGGGTACCAACATATTTGACCCACTTTTGCAAAATTTGATCAGACTTAACTTTTGAACAGTTGATGTAAAGGCTTTCGTACTTCACATAGTATTCCTTGT